GACTCTTCTTCTCATGGAGATGAGCTTTGATGAAAGACCAGTCATCCATATCAGTTGGTTCTATCATTGTTCAATGATGGACTCTTCTTCTCATGGAGATGAGCTTTGATGAAACACCAATCATCCCTATCGGTTGGTTCCGTCATTGTTCAATGACGGACTCTTCTTCTCATGGAGGTGAGCTTTGATGAAAGACCAGTCATCCCTATCGGTTGGTTCCGTCATTGTTCAATGATGGACTCTTCTTCTCATGGAGATGAGCTTTGATGAAAGACCAGTCATCCCTATCGGTTGGTTCCATCATTGTTCAATGATGGACTCTTCTTCTCATGATGAGCTTTGATGAAAAACCAGTCATCCATATCAGTTGGTTCTATCATTGTTCAATGACGGACTCTTCTTCTCATGGAGGTGAGCTTTGATGAAAGACCAGTCATCCCTATCGGTTGGTTCCGTCATTGTTCAGTGACAGACTCTTCTTGTCAGGGTTGTGTTTGGCTTTTCCCACGGGTGGGATTCTACCGGTTCTGTCCACCTCTGTAGAACCGGTAGCTCTGAAGAGCAGCAGACGTAGAACCGGTTCTATGTCTGCTGATGTTTTTGCCCACCCGGGCTCTTACCTGACCTTTATTTCTTGATTTGTTTTTTCAACATCAGCTGCCTTGCGAGGCACAGCTGCAGTTTAAAAAGCAGGAAAAAAGGGCTTTTTGAAAGGCTGCTTCTCTGCACGCAGCAGGCTGATGACGATTTACAGGTGTGTGCCGGCAGCATGCAGGGAAGCACATCGTAAATCACCAAACCGCGTAAATGACCGAACTGGTAGTTAACCCTGTTGGATCCCACCCCTGGCTTTTCCCCATGATTCTCTGGGGTCTTCCTGGGTTGACATCCTAATAGGTGAGCTCCTGGAAGAAGCCTCTTTTCTCTAGACCCCTCTTGGACCCCTTGCAAATCGATGGTTTGCCCAACTCTTGTGATGGTCCAAAGGGAGCAAGAACCAAGCTCCAAAGGTGGAGCCTAATCTAGATGTTTCCCCACTTTAATAAAAGAGAGAAAAATGTATTTCCTTCCGTTCATGCTACCTATACAAACAGGGGAACCATCCTTGATCACAATAGGCAAAGTTCTTGGAGAACATCTTGTTCTGCAGTTCTTCCTTCTCACCGTTTCCTAAAACTGATGAGCCATTTTTTATCTCTGTACCTCACATCTTTCTAACCACCCTTCCCTTTGGTTCTAGTATTTTGGGGAGGGGGAAAACAGTTTCTCTCCGTCTAATTTATCCCCTTTTCCTCCCTTAGGAGGCACATCCTGATCATGAAGACATTTTGAAAGCCATAGGATCCTTCAGGTCTCTTGTGGTAGGTTTCTGAGCAGTTGTTGAATAGCCCTCAAGGGGGCGCTGTTGTCCAAAGCAAGGTTCCAAATGTGATTTATTTTTATTTTTTAATTTGGAGAAAGTGGTTTTATTTTATTTCCTGTTGTTTTCCTTGTAAGGCCTAAGGTACAACAATCCGCAATTTTTTTTTCTCCTCAGAAAAGGGGCAACATTTTTGGATGGGAGAGGAAGAGCTGAGGCCAAGGAAGGAGGGAGGGACAAAAACATTTGTGAAAGCAGGATTAAGAAGTGAGGAAGCTGTAGCTCTTGACTTGAAAGCATCTGGGATCGGATGATCTGAAATGGAAATTATAGCAGAGATCTGAAATAAGATTCGAATGCATATCCAGGTAGTCCTTGACCACCGTTGGAACCAGCATTTTCGTTTGTAAGCAAGGCGCTTGTTAACTGAGTCCAGCCCAATTGAATTACCATTTTGCCATAGTTGTTAATAACAACTATGTTATTCAACAAATCCGGCATCTTCCATTGACTTTGCTTGTTGGAAGCATTGTAAGAAGATTGCAAATGGCAATGATTTGACCCCTGGACTGTCACAAATACCTACACTATTTGCCAAGCATCCAAATTTTGATCGGGTGGACCTTGGGGATTTTGTGGTGGTCGTACATGTGAGGAGCAGTGGGTTGTAAGTACCATATACAGATTGATGCATGTAGAGGCAAATATTTCTCTCTCTGGGCACAATGAGAATAGATCTGCTGAATGAAACTCCACATTGGCAACAGGACGGGCATCCGGCCACTAAACACTCAGCTCCATTCAGTTTCCCAGACTCCGCCCCACAAGGGATTACGGGGTCATTAAAAGAAGATGATGATTCATCGCCTTATATGCCACAACACAGCAGTCCTTTCTCCAGTTGGTCTTATCTGTGATCCTCCTTGTAACCCAGTCCCAGTGCCAAGAGATGAGAAAGAGGAAGCAACTGGAACTGCAGATCCTTTCAGAAACCATCCAAGGTTGGGAAGGAGAAGACATCCGGTCCATGGGCAGCGTCCTTTATATGTCCCAAGCCATGGTCCAATATGGAGGGAATGAGGTGAGAACAGGGTGAACCACGATGGGTTTTTTCCCCTCGGTATTCCATTGTCCTCTTCTTGGTTCAACCAATGTGGGGCCTTACAGAAGCTCTATCTGAAGAGGTTCCCAGTCATGGCTATCACACACATTGTGATGTTCCTAGACCGTAATTACGCACACGCTTATTTTAAAAACAAGTCTTATTTTATTGCAACACTGGGAATTATGTTCATTTCCAGCCAGTAAAACAGTCCCTCAAAATAAGCACCCACCTTTCTTTCCTGTGAAGAGCTGCCAATAACAGAAGTATCAAATGAACTAGGGAAAAAAAAAACTAACCGAAGTACAAAGAGCTTCGAGAATGAATCTGAACCGAACAAACGACTTTGCTTCCTGCAAAGGTTTCTTCACCTTTGCCTGTCCTTTATCCCTTATGGGAGGGGCAGCCTTACTCCCGACTGGCCCCTTTTGTCTTAGCTGCTCTCACCTTCTAGCAGCTCTGTGCACACGCGCACTAGGACCAGGCTCCCCTTGTTCCTCTGCCTTGCTGCTGCCACACTCCAGAGGCTCCAGAGGCAGCACCCCACTCCCAGATGGTCCCGGCCCCATCTCTGCATCGGATGCAGGACCCCCCCCCCATCTGAATCCTCTCCAGGCTCCCTGGCTGGTCCCCGTTCTTCCCCACCGTCCGATTCCACCACCGTCTCCCCAGGCTTCCAGCGCACCACAACACATCAAGCTATGGGGAGGGATTGCAGAAACGCTGCTTTCCACAATGGTTCATTCATGGTGCCTCTCTCTTCCTCGGTCCCAGGAGAAAGAAGAAAGATACCTCATGCTGTTTCCAGGCGTTCTGCTGGTGCTCTCAGCCAGTCCTTGTATGAGTGGATTCGTGTACAAGGTGAGTGGGTTGCACGTAGAAACAGCAAGAATTAAGGTGGTGGGTTTGGGGTGGTGGGGTTTTTTTTGGAGAAGCAGAGATGATTCTCCCCCCAACCATGAAAATATCCCCACCTGAAATCAAGAAAAGGAGACTTTTTCCATTGCAATTTCTAGTCCGGGGTATGGGGCAGGTTGAAGCTACAAGTCATGATTTGATTTGATTTTTAATAGGCTGATTGGTCTGTCGTTTTCACATTGATCAAGATTGCTCTGAATAATTTTCATATCGTATTTTTTTCCCCCCCTTCCTTCTGGGGGAAACAGGGGAGACTGTCTTTAATAGGAATGCTGGTGGCCAAATCAGATCTGGAAGGAAACGATCATGCTTTTGAGATCTCAGGTCAGTGCTCTTAGGTTCTTCTTCTTGTATCATACCTGTCGTTGGACGCTGGCGATCATCTTCTTAGATTAACTTTTTTTTAATATATTTATTTTTTTATATTAAAAAAAATCAGTTCGATTTCAATAATGCATCGATTAGGTACATATTTCAAATTACTTATCCATTATTAATAATATTCTTCTTATTCATCATAACAATATAACAATAATCACATTCCCATATATATAATATAAGTGTAATCTAATATATCTACTGTATTAATTCCTCTTTATATGTACGTCTAATCCCTTTTATTTTATTCTGTTTTCTATCCATTGGTAAAACAAATCCCATATGATGTAATATTCAGATTCTTCTTTTTCTTTAATTTCTAGTGTCAGTCTATTCATTTCTGCACATTCAAATATTTTTTCAATTATTTTTCCCCTCTTCTTAGATTAACTTTATCAATTATGATCAGGGTATCATCCTAAATTGGGTACAAACCAGTACTTATGAAACTAAGATTAGAAACTGATGAGTATCCAGAGAAGCTATTAATAATCATGTTATTTATACTTAATAAAAGTTATTTTGTCCCCTATAAAAGGGTCAGGGGTGGGATTCAAATTTTTAACAACTGGTTCTGTGGGCGTGGCTTAGGTGGTGGGCATGGCTTGGTGGTCATGTGACTGGGTGGAGATGGTTTGGTGGTCATGTTATTGGCTGGGCATGGCCAACTCAACATCACTCACATCGAGGCACCATCTCCTCGCCTGGCCTTTCTTGACTGTGGGGATGCTGCAACAGTCATAAGTGTGAAAAATGGTCATAAGTTACTTTTTTCAGTGCCATTGTAACTTTGGTGACTCCACACAAGCGAAGTACCAGCAAAGGAGGGGAAAAGTTCCAGAGAAGTTCTTGAGACAGGAAGTCTAGTCCTGCCAAGAATGTAATAAGGGTTAATGGAGAGGCAGTTTCTGTAAGCAACACCAGAATGTTTCCTTCCTGCCTTCCTTACAGGATTAGCCCAGTAATTTCTTCTAACAACCGGTTCTCCAAACTGCTTAGAACATTAACAACCAGTTCTAGCGAATAGGTGTGAACTGGTAGAATCCCACCCCTGGGTGGGGTGGGCAGGGCCAGCCACGAGTAGGATTGGGGGGTTCTCCAAACTGCACAGAATCTCCTGAACCCCTGCGAACCCCCAGCAGCCCAGCCCTGACCTCATTCCAGGAAGCCCACCCGTATCTGCGTTAGTTCCATTTTGTCCTTCTTTGTGCCCCACGTTCTGAGCCAGTCTTCGATCGAGTGATGGTTTGGGTTTGTCTTGGTCTCGCAGGGAGCATGGGAGACCGGCTCACGGTTCACTGCAGTAGCAGCCAAGATTTGCACGAGTGGCTTGACCACCTCCAACGGCTGACCAGAGGAACCACTTTCAGCGGTACCCTCTCGAAAACCCAGTCTTGGGGCTCCCATTCGGTGAGTAGCTCCCCAACTAAATCAAGGAATTGATTCCAAGGAAAGGTGGAAACTTCTTTCTTGCAGGCCATGCCCAAATCTACCTTGATCCTAATCTTAGGGGACCATAGAAGAAGAAGAACAATGTCCCGTTTCCCTTTTTTTTCCCCTTTCTTTCAAGGGGGCCCAACCAGTGGTGGGGTTCGAATTTTTTTTACTACCGGTTCTGTGCGTGTGGCATGTCTTGGTGGGCATGGCAAGGGAAGGTTACTGTAAAATCCCCATTCCCCACCGCACTAACCTGCTTTCCAGCTCCGTTCTCCTGTGCAGGGCAACCAAAGAAGAGCCAGCCAATCAGCTGGGACTCAATGGGAGGCAGAGAATAGATGGGGGCGGGGCCAGTCAGAGGTGGTATTGGCTGGTTCTTCGAACTACTCAGAGTTTCCTCTACCGGTTCTCCAGAACTGATCAGAACCAGATGAATACCACTTCTGGACCCAACCATCTCTCTAGGGTTAGGGCCACACAATTCACTCCTTTTCCAGCTGGAACGCTCCCAGGTCCTCCTCCTCCTCCCATTCCAAACCATCATTTGAGAGGGGGAAAAATTAGAATGTTTTGCTGTCATTTTGCTGTGGTTTGATCCAAAGGTGATGGGAGGCCACCAGTGGGTTTCTAATGGCTACCTGAAAACCACAAGCTGAATGTTCCTCACCTGTTCTAAGGGACGATGTCCTTGTTGGGGAGCTTTGAGGTGATCAGATAGGTTGAAAGCAAGGACTCAGTAAACTGTTCTTTTTTTAAAACAAAAATAAATCAGACTTTTAGCTCTACTGGACAATGCCGTGGCCCACTGGAACCACCCCAGATCCTCAAACCTTGGACCTTGAGTTGCCTTCGCCCAGCACCTCCTCTCAAGCCATCAGTGGCCCTCAGCTATAAAGAGGTAATGTTGTGTGACCTTTGCATGAGTGTCTTTCTTGGGTTTCCTCATGGCAATTTGATGTCATGGTCCTTAATTCTGTGACGACACATTCTAGGTTGAGCAGCAGGAAACGGAGTCATGGAGAGCCACAAATTCCCACACAGTTGGGTGGAATTTAGGAAGTTGGATTTAGAATACAATGGAATGGAATGGAATGGAATAGAATAGAATAGAATAGAACAGAACAGAACAGAACAGAACAGAACAGAATAGAATAGAATAGAATAGAATAGAATAGAATAACAGAGTTGGAAGGGACTTTGGAGGTCTTCTAGTCTTCTAGGAAACCCTACACCACCTCAGACAAATGATTATCCAATCTCTTCTTCAAAACTTCCAGTGTTGGAGCATCCACAGCTTCTGGAGGCAAGTTGTTCCACTGATTGATTGTTCTAACTATCAGGGAATTTCTCCTTAGTTCCAGGTCGCTTCTCTCCTTGTTCAGTTTCCACCCATCGCTTTTTGTCCTGCCCTCATTTGCTTTGGAGAATAGCTTGACTGCCTCTTCTTTGGGGCAGCCCCTGAGATATTGGAAGACTCTGCTATCATGTCCCCCCTGGTCCTTCTTTTCATCAGAGTAGACATATCCAGCTCCTGCAACTGTTCCTCCTATGTTTTAGCCTCCACTTAGCTTGCAAGCTTTGGTGTTCCCTGCCAGAAGAAACCTAGTTCATTCCATCATTGTGATCTTTCTCTCCTTCCAACCAAACACCTACTCATTTAGAAATAAATTCGGCAGATTGGTTGGCAAATGAATTGTCCTGTTTAATTGAAAGACTTAAGAATTAATTCTGGATTGAATTAGGAATTAACAGAATTAATTCTGCTGAGTTTGGAGAATTTATTTCCTCGTGTTTTATTTTCTGGGGGAAAAAGAAGTCAGAAGTTAAATAAAGATTCGTTTCTGTTCCAGAGTTGTAGGGGAGAAAGATTTTTCAAACACGCTGCTAATCCCCAACTCCATCCAAGCTTCCTTTTTCAGTCCTTCAACGCTGCAATTTTGCTCATTTGAACCTCCAGTTTCCAATCTTTCATCACCATCTTTTGACCTGTTTTTTTTTCCCCTTAAATCCCACAGAAATTGGAACCCCTATCAGTAAAATTGCTTTTAAAATTTGTGCTCCGGGAAGCTAGATTTATTACGGAGCCAGCCCATTCTTCTCTTCTTCCATTGAATTGTCATCAATCCCTGCCTTGTCAAAACATAACACTATGCAAATGTTAGGCCCACAGGAAACGGGGGTGAGCCGTTACTTGCATCAGTGAGGAAACTTGTATCGCACACACCCCGAACTCCGTAATTTTAAACAAAACCACCCATTTTATTTTTATGTTTTGCTTTTGTGACTCATTTTTCTGCACAAATCAAATCAAGATGAGATTTACTTCTCTGGTATCACAGGTTTGGCCTCTTCTTTTCACCTGATGCTTATCATAGGAAGGGGAAATACCTTGATTCCACCACCCCTACTGGCATTTCTCTTACTCAACTCAAACTCTTTTAGTTCTGGTCCTCCGTGGATTTCTGAAGGTGATCTTCTCCAGAAGGTCGTCTCCGAAGGAAGTCAACGCGAAGAAGAACGTTGGAACTCAATCTCTGAAAGTCGCTTCAATGTTAGGTTAGGCAGGATTGTTATAAGAGATGAGAACTTCCCAGAAATATCCTGAAGTACAGTTTACAAATCTGACATTTTGGGGGGAGGATCCCAGACTCACTGCTCCCCACAAAGACCCACGTGGGTAAGAGGCAGATTCTGATCATCAAGGTGACAAAAGTTGAATTAGTTATCTTACCTTTCCTCTTCTCCTGTTACGATGAGGAAGCAGGAAGAAGGGGTTCTTCGAATAGGAGACCCCCATCCTTGGGGTGAGATTCCATCGGTATAACAACCGGTTTGGTGATAATGCGCGAGTGCGCCAAACACACACTCCACGCACGCGCTCCACATTTAGAAAAGCTCTAATACTTACCTTCTACAGCAGTCCAAATGTGATGACCCAAAGGGGCGTGGCACAAAGGCAACACAGTCAGATAATCAGTAGGAGTCCCTTTATTAGCTCCAACTTTGCCCTCAATGTCCTGGTTACCTTCTAAGCTGGAGAAAAACTCTCCCAGGAACAGCCTTTGGCTGCAGAGAATCAAGTCCAAAACGTGGTCAACAAAAACTATAAGTCCAATCAAGGCAAAATGAGGTAATTAGTCTGGCGGGGCAAGAGAAGGAATTCCAGATATGAAGGAATGGCAGTAATTCAACACGGTTGGGAAGACGCCAGCAACGCAGATAAGCAAAGTCAATATAAGATAAACTCACGTTTGTTCCCAGTAGCTGCTGCACTCAGCATACATCTCTTTTAAACTGTCTTCCCAGCTGCAGCTAATGAAGGGAATCAGGGCCCTTTCCTCCCCCGTAAGTCATGCAACCCCCGTTCCTCCCTGCGTGCCCTAGGATGAAGAGAGGGTGGGCCTGGGTCTTCCTCCGAACTCCTTCTCCCTTGTTCTACCTCTCCCCTGCTCTGCCCAGATGGACTTTGCCCTTCCCCTGTTTCCTCCACAGCCAATGGAGCCACACTCCCGCTCCCTGTCAGCTGTTTGTCTTCCTCCTCTGATTCAGACTCCGACGGGGCAGGACACCCAGTGAATAAAACAGCTGAGGCACGCCAGACCACTCTGCTGTGTGAATCAGCTGTGCTCTAAACAAACCAGTTCTCTGCCAGCTGATCTTTGGCGCAAGGAGTTCACCTGAACCGGTCCGAACCGATAGAATCCCATCCCTGCCCCAACCCACTGCCTCGCACAGAACAATACCGGCACTCTTCAACTTACAATAGCTCGCTTAGTGACCGTTCCAAGCTAAGGTACAACGACACTGAAAAAAAGTGATGTGACTGTTACCACATCCCCATGGTCACGCGGTCAAAAATTCAGATGCTCGGCAACTGGTTCCGATTTTATGACAGTTGCCGTATCCCAGGGCCATGCAATTCCTCTTTTGCAACCATCTGACCAGCAAAGTCGATGGAGGAAACCAGATGCACTTAAACAACTGGGTTACTAATTGAACAACTGCAGCGATCTGCTTAACCCCTGTAGCAAAAACGGTCATAAAACAGGGCAAAACTCACTTAACAACAGAAATTTTGGGCTCAATTGTGGTCGTAAGTTGAGGACTACCTGTATAGTTACAAGATTCGTTTTTGGGTTCAAAAGCTAGAGGAGACTAAACCCTAAGTAGCCTGTGATTTATTTTGATTGGGAACATCGTAAGTTTGAAAGTGGATTCTTTATGGCGGTAGTTTGATGGCCATGTGCATCTTTTCATGCTTGTCTTTTCTTTCTTTCATGCTCCTTCCCAGCGGATGTCCTACATCTTAAAGGTAAGGCGAGAAACCTCTCCACGACCTGTTCTCTTGCAGCGTACCAAGGGTTTTAATGCACAAGCAGGGTTTTTCCCCCAGTGACAAGTTTCTGTGCAGGGTTTGAGGTCATATTTTCCCAAAGCTCATCTCATGGCTGTTTGTTTGTGCAATCTGGTTGCCTGCACATTTCCTCAGTAGTGAAACAGAGATGTGCTTTAAGGCAGCCTCTGACTCAGGGTTTATTTATTTGTGCAACGATAGCACTGAAGCTGGAACAATTCACCATGGCTTATAGTGGGTGGGGTGGGGTGTAGGCATTCTATAAAGGTATTTAGGGAGGGTTTGCAGGAGGTAGGAGCAAGCCATTGGAGAAGAGATCACGAAGTCTAGAAGCGGAAGGAAGTTCGAGAAACTCAAAACAAGCCCCCTTGATACATATTTTTTTAAACCCTAAAATGGGACAGAGAAAAACCGGGACAGGCTTTGAAGATTTCTGAAATTTCACCCGTATTAACAGATACAGAGGGTTGAATGAATAGATACAGAGGGTTTCCTAGAGTTCTTACAACGTCTCTTTCTTGATCTGATCTTTGAAGTCTGTCCCAGTTTCTCTCTTTGTCCTGTTTTATACTAAAACAACATCAAGACTCAGTTACTTGGAATTTCTTTCTCAATTGTCTTTCTATCTCTGGAATGTGTACAGTAAGATCTCTGTTGTGGCCTTCAGCCACTGGCCCTTACAGCAGCCGAATTGGAGGAGGAGGAGGAGGAGGAGGAGGAGGAGGCGGCGGCGTGGAAGTCAGGGTCAGCATGAAGACAACCTGAGAACTCCGAGAGGGAAGAGGGATGAGCTGGCAGAGAGAGAGAGAGAGAGAGAGATACAGAGGCAGAGCCATCCATCAGCCCTTAGATGGGGAATGAAAAGCCCCTGGATCTGGAGGCGGCTGATGAGGAAGAGGAGGAACAGTTGGGTCCAGTGCCTGATGTGTGGATGTGCAGAAAGCAGAGGAGAGGAGAGCAGTGGAAATCTATGGGCTGGTCCTTGGGATGGAAGAGCCTCCGCTGCTAGCGAAGCCCCACCCTAGCTCTAGGGATAAAAGGCAAGATGAATAGATGTGGCAGATAACTATTCATGTCCCTGCCATACAGACTTGTTAGCCTGCATTGAGAGAGAAACTTTATGCCAGCTGCTGGCGTTCCTAATGAAGGAAACATTGATTTAAATTAGAGGGTTTGTCGTGTTTGGGGAGCTGGGTCAGAACACTCTCCTCTAAATCTCTCCTCAATGGCTCTAAATCCTTTCACAGATATTTCCTTGCTAGAACTTCCATGCTGGACTTCAAGGCATGGCATTTATGGGACGGTCAATTGTCCATTGCCTCACATGAAAAAGGTGCAACATCGCTATTGTTGGTAGATGGGCCAATGGCTCAGAAGAAGAAGGACATTGAGAGTTGTGGGCCAACACAATTTATGGCTACCAGATTAGCCCAAATGTTGTCTTTGTGTCATGTGCTCAAACAGGCCACCTATCAATACAATTGCTCGACCCTCGGGTATTTACTCTGCAAACTCACAAATATTTGAGTCCAGTCCTTGGTTAATCAACGGAAACTTAGATGCATCATGAGTGGAGATTATTTTTTTCCACCCAGGATATAATCCTAATTGATTGTTCTATCTTGACAGGATGCCAGTAAGAGCCCAAAGACGATGAAAAAGTTCCTGCCCAAAAGAAAAACAGAGAGGAAGGCATCGGATGAGGAGTTTGTTATTAGAAAAAGTACGTTGGCTGCGTCATTGCTGTCTAGGATAGATTTTCTGGAGTATGCTGTAAGGTAGAACACTCTGATCTTTATTCATTGGTTAAAAATGACGTTCTCTTTCCATACTGTTTTATGAAGTTGCACATCTTTACTATAGGAGGAGAGGCAAGATTGTCTCCCAGGAAAGGCATCCTTGAAGAGTTTAGTTCAATTTCCAAATTGAGAGAATTAATATGTCCACTGCCAGGATTCCGGCGATCACCCTAATTAAATCATAAGCCACGAGCCAAGCTTCAAAAAACTTCAAAAGATTTGTTAGGAGTGACATGCCGGCATGACCTTGGAAATAGGCATAGGAATGTTTTACAAGTTGACTTCCAGTTTATCTTCTATTAGTCTGGCCCCATGTCTAGTGCTGGATCCAGTTTAAGGTTGTCCAAATTGCAATGGAAGAGGTCCGTAAATGGGCAAGGAGAAAGGCTAGGAGATGGTCTTCAAGGAGATGTTGAGGGAACTCTTGAGCTGAAGAGGATATTTTGAAGCCCACCCCTGACTTCAACTCCACATTGCCTGAGGGATTCTGGGAATGGAAGTCCACAAGTGTGAAGGTTGCCTAGTTTGGGGACCCTTGCTCTAGAGCAGGGATGGCTAACCTTTTCGGCACCAAGTGCCCAAAGCCCCGCGTGCATGCATCCCCAAAATGCAACTTGTGCGTGCACCTGTGCATGCACCCTGCACCCACACATGCATGAGTGACCTCCCCCTCCATGTGCACCCCATCCCGCGCATTCATGGCAGAGACCCAAAGACCAGCTGCCCAGCGGGAGGACTCTGCGTGCCACCTCTGACATGCGTGCCGTAGGTGCGTGCCATCACGGCTCTAGAGTCGATCCAGAGCCTGTCGCCAACATGCCTTTGCTTTTCAGGTACAGTTGCCTTAGAGGAAGACGCTCAGATCCTCAAGGTGATTGAGGCGTACTGCGCAGGGGCGAGTCTACAGCAGAACGTCGCTTCAGGTAAGCGGTTGGAAGCCCAACCAGGTTTCTCATGGGTTGTTTTTTTTTCTCGCTGTGTCTTGGATCAAACGCTAATTAATTCCCCCCCCCCAAAAAAAATTAACATCCCAGGGGGAAAAAAAGAGGTTTTTCGTAGTTGGAATATAAATCCACCTCCCATGTGATCATTTCTAATTCTGGTAGTCCTCGATTTACAACAGTTCATTTAGGGACTGTTTGTACCGCCCTCGAAAAAAGGGACTTATGACCCCTGTTTCACACTTATGACGCTTGCAAAAGCCCTGCGGTCGCCTGACCAAAATTCAGACGCTTGGCAACCGACTCGTACTTACGACACTTCCCGGGAGCCAACCGATTCTCCTTTTGTGACCAAGTCTAACGGGGAAGACGGATCCCTTAAGCGATGCCTGTCGCTCCTTTCATGACCGCAAGAGATTCGCTTAGCAAATGTGGCGAGACGAGAGCCGTTAAAAACGGGCCAAAATGTGCTGAGCAAATGTTTCCCTTGGCAACCTCCACGTTGGGCTCCGACGGCAGCCATAAGTCGAGGACCGGCTGGTTTTTTTTTTTGCTTTCAAAAAGGAATAGATGCATCTAGCCCAACGCGGAGGAGTCGAACCTTTGAAATAAAGCTGACTTGGGAGATAGCGAGATGAAGGTGAAGGAAACGGCGAGAAGTTGCAACGAGATGCTGTTGACTTTGGTTTCTTCTGGCCCTCCCAGCCTCCCGAGATGCTAATCTCCCAAGACACTTGTCGCTTCTGGGGATTTTATCGTTCAATCTGCTGCGCATTTCAGAAAAGAAACGAAGCTACCTGGTGGTTTTCTATATATATAATCTATGTATCTTTCTTCTTTTTTTTTCTCGCTTCTTCTGAAGCCATGAATGGAAACACGTCTCGTGTCGGTGGCACTGAGGTGGCACTAGCAATAATTCAGTGCGTCTTGGGGACAGGGTGGTGGTGGCTGCTCTCCTGCTCTCTGTGGCAGCCCCTCAAATATTGGAAGACTGCTATCCTGTCTCCCCTGATCCTTTTGTTCCTTAAAATCAGATGAAAGTCAGATTAACAGAGTTGGAAGGGATCTTGTAGGTCATCTAGTCGGGCTTAGCTTCAGCCTGGGGGAGTTTAACAGCTTAACAGAGTTGGAAGGGGCCTTGTAGGTCATCAACGCGCCCACCCAAGCAGGAGACCTCCACCATTTCTGACCAGTCTCTTCTTGAAAGCCTCCAGGGATGAAGCTCCTACAACTTCTGAAGGCAACATTGGTTGATTGTTCTCACGGTCAGAAAATTTCTCCTTTATTTCTAGGTTGAATCTCTCCCTGGTCAGTTTCCATCCGTTATACCTTGTCTGGCCTTTGGGTGCCTTGGAAAATAACTTGATCCCTTCCTCCTCTCTGTGGCAGCCCCTCAAATATTGGAAGACTGCTATCCTGTCTCCCCTGATCCTTTTGTTCCTTAAAATCAGATTAAAGTCAGATTAACAGAGTTGGAAGGGATCTTGTAGGTCATCTAGTCCAACCCCCTGCCCTCAAATATTGGAAGGCTGCTCTCCTGTCTCCCCTGGTCCTTCTCTTCCCTAGACTAGCCAGGCCCAGTTCCTGCAACTGTTCACTGTATGTTTTAGCCTCTGGTGTCCTCATCATCCTGGTTGCTCTTCTGTGCACTCTTTCTAACGTTTCAACCTCTTTTTTATAATGTGGTGACCAAAACTGGATTGAGTATTCTAGAGTTGTAGATTATCTGTGACATTTAATTTTAATTTTAATTTTTAACTTAGCTCTATCCCGGTTTTTATTATTTTTACAATAACTCAAGGCCAGGAACGTATTCTACGTGCTTTCCTCCACCTGTTTCCCCCACAAGAACAGTCCTATGAAGTGGATTTGGGCTGAGGGAGAAGAGCTAAGCCAAAGTCATTCAGCTGTCCTAAGGCAGGACTAGAATTCACCGTCTCCTGGTGATTGGCTCAAAGTCACCCAACTGTCTTTGGGGCTTAAGGTGGGGCTAGAATTCACCGTCTCCTGGTAATTGGCCCAAGGTCAGTCAGCCCTCTATGAGACCTTAAGGTGAGACTTATGGAGTTCTAGAACTCCCGAAGTCACCTAGTTGGTTCTCATGCTAAGGCAGGATTAGAACTCATCATCTCCTGGTGAATGGCCCAAAGTCACCCAGCCATCTTTTGTGCCTAAGGTGGGACTAGAACTCACCGTCTCCTGGTTATTGGCCCAAGGTCAGTCAGCCCTCTATGATGCCTGAGGTGGGACTAGAACTCCCAAAGTCACCCAGTCGGCTTTCATGCTATTGCAGGACTAGAACTCACAGTCTCCTGGTTATTGGCCCAAAGATATTCAACAGTCTTTTGTGCCTAAAGTGGGACTAGAACTCACCACCTCCTGGAGGTGATTGACCCCCAAGTCACCCAACCATCTTTTGTGCCAAATGTGGGACTAGAACTCCCCATCTTCTGTTGATTGGCCCAGAGTCACCCAGCCACCTTTCATACTACAACGAGACTAGAACTCACCATCTCCCAATCTGGTACCTTCACCACTCAACCAAAGTGGCCTCAACCTCATGGAGGCAAAATTGCACCCCAACCTCTGGGCGCCCCAAATGAAACCCTTCCCTGAATTATCCTCTCTCGTCCTCAGGGTCCCGCAAAGATTCAGTCCCCCAGGTCCTACTTCCGGAAGAGGAGAAACTAATCATCGAGGAAGTGCGGAGTAACGGGCAGACTGTGGCTGAGGAGAAGTGAGTGAGACCACGAGCCGAACCGATGGAAAAAGCTGCAGCAAAACCTCATGGGGGAACTTCTCCCATCTCCATTTCTTTGAGGGCTTCCTTCCCTTGTGTTGAGTCTTCTGCTGATGACCCAACCACGAACCCCAACGTTTCGATTCTTAGGAAGAAGCCTTCTATGGCCGAGGTGACCCATCTCAACGTCTTGTCAAGAGACGCAACGGGAGCCCATGTAGGCAAGATGGTGTCATCCTCGTAGGCAGGGGTGGGATTCAAACATCCCAACCACCGGTTCTCTGCCCAGTTGCTGGGTGGGCGTGGCCTACCAGAACTTCCAGGAGGGCCATTTTTCCCCCTCCCAGAGCCTCCGTGTGGACTCTGCACTTACCTGCATCCAAAATGAGCCACGTGGAGACTCCTGGGAGGGGAGGGGCAGGGTGGGCGGGGCCACCTGGTCAATTCAACTACCGGCTTGGTGAACCAGTTGTAAATGTAACATCCGGTTCAACTGAACCAGCCCAAACGGGACACATCCATAGCCAAGAGTCATCAATCATACTCTCCAGTAATTTTCTTGTGCGCCGACAGCTTTGGGCTGCCAAGGCGATTATCTGAGGCATTTAAGGAATGCACTGCTTTTCCCCCACTCCCTTTCTGCTGGCAACTAAAAAGACCAAGGGAGCATTTTTTTAGTTGACAGCGATAAGTCAAGGACCACCTGTAGTTTAATGGAAAAGCTGTAAAATGAAACATAAACCTAATATGAAAATCATTAAAAGAATAAATCACCACAATATGAAGCTCTAAAAATGAAAAAAGCAAAAAATGAAGGAAATATTTTGTGTCTCAGGCTGATGGATATTATTATTATTATTATTATTATTATTATTATTATTACTACTATTATTATTATCATTATTATTATTGCCTTTTTCTGCTGTTTCCTAGGAGTCTTGTGGATACCGTCTACGCGCTAAAAGACGAAGTCAAAGAACTGAAGCAGGTAATCCAGAATAATTGCATCAGGCTGGGCAGCCTTTATAAACAGTTTTGCAAAAAAAAAAAAAAAGATTGCTGATTTCAACTGGGGGCTCCATAATCCTACCGACTTCCCGGTGGGTTTTGTTATTGTTTTTTTGGAAAGAAGATTGGTTTTAGAATAACTCAATTGTCACTTTGAATGTAGACGAATCGGCATACATTAAAATGAAATTTCGTTGCGTCCAGATAGGGCAAAACACCCCTAACAACTCAGTGGTGGTATTCTACCAGTTCGGCCCAGTTTGGACAAACCGGTAGTAAAAAATGCTAATGTTCTGCCAAACTGGTAGTAAAAAAAAACAGCTACTCGTTCGGCCGAACCAATATTTCTTTCCTTTTTCCTCCTGACGATCAGCTGTTCCAACGATCAGCTGTGTCGTGATCCCCCTCGCTGAGGCTTCCCTGAGACCCAGGAGGCAGAAAGGGGCGCAGTGGGGGGGCCACAAAAAAAGAAGAAGCCACGCCCACCCAGTCACATGGCCACGCCCACAGAACCAGTAGTAAAAATATTTGCGTCCCACCCCTGTAACAACTTCCTTGCTTCGCCATGGAAATTTGGAGTCGTTAGGTCAGGACTGCCTGTACCCCAAATACAGCTTGCTGAAGGAAAACCGTTTTAATAATGTGCAAACACGGCTGTCCCTTTGTTCCTCTCTTCCCCTCTGCAGGAGAACAAACGAATGAAGCAATGTCTGGAAGAAGAGCTGAAATCCAGGAAAGATTTGGAAAAATTGGTCCGAAGGTTACTGAAGCAAACGGACGACAGTATTCGAGAAGAGACCGGCCGCCGTTCCTCGATGCTAGCTTGAACCCCGCAAACCCCACTCAGGAAAGTTTTCAGCCGCCTCTTGTACTCCCTCGCTCCTTCGGCAGGGAATCACGCCTCTTTTGCTTCTTCGTCGCACAAAAGAAAAGATAAAAACAAATAGCCCAGCTGTTTTATTTTTTATTTTTATTCCTCCTCCCCCTCGTTTTGCATGCTGCTCACGGCCGGCGAAGATTTGCTCCAAAATGGACATCACAAAAGTCGCAAAAAACTTTTCCAGGACTTCTGATATCGTTCCCCCTCGTCCCGTGTGTCTCATCCCAAGAATATATTGCTCCTGAGAAGGGATGGGTCACCACTCAGCGTGAAGCAGATTCCTGAATGCAAAACCCAGTTGAGAGGAAACGCAGGGAAGAAACAACCCCCCCCCCCCAAAAAAACCCTGCCTGTACCTCCTTCTGTTCTTGTTTTGCTTTTAAAGTTTGTGTGTGTGTTTTTGTTTTTTTTAATTTATTGAGTGGGAGGGAAAAGCAAACTCGGTTTCCCGAATTGCAACCGAGGGAGAAGCCAAATGATCATTTGCACTTCTATTATTATCATTTTTTCCCCCCCAGGGAATCAGGAAAACGAGCGTGAGATTCGCCGTCCTCTCCTCGAGACGGCGAGAATCCCCCTCGGCGGCCTTTCTGGAGAGGATATTAATGCAAAGGATCTCAGATTTTCGGAGAACGGATCCCTCTGGATTCCCCGCTTTCAGTTCCTTGCGCATTAGCCACGGATCCCTCAGGAAGTGGGTTGAAACGAAGAGACAGCAGCCAATGGCAGGTTCACCTCTTCCCATTGGTATTGTCTCTCCGGTTTGAGCTGGGGAAGAGTTGGACTAGAAAGATCTCCGAGGTCCTTTCCATCTCTGTGATTCTGGTTTTAGCAGTAACCAGGGCGGCCTGATTGCAGGTCTGTCCTCGCCTTACAACAGTTCCATTTTGTGACCCTTCAAAGTTACAAAAGGATGGGGGGGGGGGAGAAAGTGACTTACGAACATTTTTCAAGTTGCCAAGCGCCTCAAATTTTTTTTGATCGCCTGGCCGTGGGGGATGTTGCAACTGCCGCACGGGCGAGGAATGGTTGTACGTTAATCGTTTTTCAATGCTGTTGTAGCTTTGCATGGCCACTAAACGAAGAGTCGTAAGTCGAGTTACCTGTGCTCTGAGATTGGAGAGGAGCTGCCTTGGGCTTTCTCTACCGGCAGAGTTATTTTTTGATAGCCGCCCTGTAGCAAGAGTGAGACTGACTCCGAAAAAGTCCGGTGGGAGATAGTCTTTGCATTCCAGCTGTTGGCGGCTGGAGGGGAAAGTTGCAATTGCGTTTTGACAGGCAAAAGCTCTTTGGCTGCAGCAGGGGAATGCATCTGGAGACAGTCAGGAAGGGCCGAGACAATCTGATCGCAGGGGAAAGCTGAGAAAAATGAAGAGGCAAAACGCACACAAACTGAGCGAAGGACGCATTCTTGGGTTGGCCAACTTTGTGTGGAAGCGTGTCGCAAAGAAACAGAATGGCGATGTGACCCCCTAGAAGATCTCCCTCAAGTCTGCATGTAAGCAATGGACTTTTCCCTCTTCAACCCAAAAAAGAATGAACTTCTGCAAGGTAGGCACTTCAAAAGGAATTCTTTATGGAAAGGAAATGATTCCAATACTAGTCAAAGCAGAATCTGCTTCCAGGCATACAGGAACAGATAAAGGGAGTTAGTACCCTTCCCCTTATTTAGATGTGGATTTTGTCAAACAAAGAACCAGTATGTTAATTCCCCCCTCCCCTTTTCTGGAAACGTATTTTAGAAGAGTTTCCCAGGGAGTATCTTCCAGAGCTGGAATTTTTATGGTCCCTTCTCCTCTTGCTATCTCTCCAAGAGGTGACAAGTTTCTGGCTCCAGTCCTCCAGTTGTATATCGTGTGTGAGTTATACAGATTCAATATAAGATTTAATATATTCAGGTTACATAAAAAAGGATGACTTATACCAACTTCCCCCCGCCCCCCTTCTTCCATTGAAGAATGGCAGATACACAGATCTGACGCTGCAGCTCCTCAGTGTCCTTCTTGGTGAATGATCTACTGGGAATTGGGTGGGTTTTTTTTCCCCCGGCCACAGAAGGTCTACAGTTTTCCCTTTTTGACCCACCTGGCCAGAAATTAGAATCAGACAGAATAGAGGAGGAGGAGGAGGAGGAGGAGGAGGAGGAGGAGGAGGAGGAGG